CTGTGACTATCTTTAAGAAGAAACTAGATGCTTTCATGGACAGGCAAAAAGGTGGGGGGCAATGTTGACGTAGGTACTAGACAGTAAGCAACTGAGATAGTAAAAAAAAAAAAAAAAAAACCAAAATATATAGCTTCAAGAGGGATAGGCCTACCCCAAAATTAAGGAACGCTCGACCTCGACACGTGATATCGAAATGGGCGAAATCGCCTCTTGATATCACTAACTCTCCTGACTTCTGACTCCTGACTATCCTACAATTCAACTCATTGTCCGACTCACTCACTTGACAAACCCGACCCGACCCCCGCGACTCTCCCGCGCGATCCTCTTATTGCGTTATGCCGGACATGCACATTATCTTTTACAGTGATTTCATCATCCTCATAAAAGTACCTCCTACAAGAACTCCAGCGCGATATCCGGTATCCATGGTGCGAGAATGGCGCCTGCGCGCTAAGATTAGGGATCTTCAATTTCGTTTTCCTCAAGGAAATCGTGCCAACCGCCCACAACCGAAGTTCCACTAGCCTCTTACCTCGCCATATGAGTTCATATTTTAAGATAGCCCAGGTATCTAGTTCATGATTCATGCTCTAAAGGCCACCCTCTTTTCTTTCCAAGCAGAGGGAAATATTTATTCAAATTTTTCATGCAGTGACTTTGGGTACAGAGAGCGAGATGAACTCCCAAGTTCCTTCTCCCAGATGTTCGAGTAGTATACTTGGGGTTGGAATTTTGTAACGGGAAAGGATTGAAGAAAGAGAAGTAAGCAAAAGCCTAGGCCTACTGGCTGGAATCCTCGCCTATGCTTAGCTAGTCGGTAGACGGAGGCATGCGTGAGCAGAAAAGAGACGAGAAGAACCTGTTTCTTCTCTACACAAGGCACAGAGGCAAGGCAAGCACAGAGGAACAGATGAGGGAGACGTGATTCTGCTCGAGCAATATAAATGACGTGAGCGGGATGGGGGAAAGGCATGCTTTGATGACTCAAGGACGGCAAGGAGACATCTCTTGATTTCTACTGGATACATTGTTGGAGCAGAGAGAGGAAAGATGTGCCCAGCTGAATAGGGCATCGTTCGAATGTTCACGTGGAAGACCATGGAGACCTGGCCAAAGCCTCCCTGCTCTCATCTTAAACACCATCGTCCGCATTCTTTGGAACGTGCGCTCTACCCCCCGCCCCCCCGTGACTGAAAATTTGCACCGGTCGTGAGAGTTTATAATAGGGTAAATAGGCGATAAATATCGGGTATTGTTTGGAACGTGCCCCCCCCCCCCCCCCCCCCCCCCCCCCCCCCGGCCCCCACCCCTCTAAGAAGAGCGACTTTATCGGTTTGGGTTTCAATGTAAATTAAGGATGGCCTGCGAATGATGGAATTGTTGAAACACGGCAGCCGGTGTTTCTGTTTATATCACCCTTCGGAAGCATAACTGGGAACCTGTGGTCGAAACAGACCGAGTCATGCAGCTCTTACCGAAAACTAGCCCAAGCGGGTTCGAAAATGGAGATCCATGAGTATTTGGCACTCTCCTCGGGAGCTCAGAACGTTAAAGACCCCCATTCGGAAAAAAAAGAACCCATATAGAGTCTCGGAAGAAGAAACCATGATCGCCAAG